CCCCCCACCCACCTCCCATGTAATACCCAAATGCGAGGAAGGGACTTGAAGGGGAAAAACCCCCCAGGGCGTCTCTCTCAGATTAACTCTTGACACTTTGTTACTTGTTGTCAGTTTGACATTTTCGTCAAACTTCCTATTTAAAGTTGTGTACTCGTCCAAAGGAAGGCTTCGCTTTAATGTCTCTCAAGGGTGGCAATTCTGTTCTAATTCTGATGTGAATGTATCTTCACCTGCACCCTCAACTTCATGGAGGAGGATGTGCGGCGTAAAAGTCTGTTAGACATCTATCGTTATGGTGCAAGCTAAATTTTGATAATTGTGCATACAGATGCACAGGAGCATTGAAGAGCCCAATTCCTCGTTTTTATTTTCTACACAATATGGATAAGTACACGTTAGTGTACACATGATTGTACACTATTGTCATATTTATCTCTGAGACAAGTTTAGAACCATTGTTCGTATTTTGCTGACTAGACCATAACGATAATCTAAAAACGCCCTTTGTATCCTCCTCAGATAACGTCATCAAGGAACCGGAACCGGAAGTGACGGAGTACTCTTTGACAAAGCTACAGGCAAAGGAAGGAAGGACGGGCTTGTGTTTATTTCTGTGATTGTTGAGTGTTGTACGTGTGGTCATCAGTGAGTGAGCTCATTCACCAGTGTGATCTCTCCTGCGTGCGCGCACGTGTACGTGCCTAGCTGTGCGTGAAGTGTATTTCGATGTGTTCCAAGGATGATATCCCTTGAGGAGTTAACTTTTCCTAGACGTACTTCCGGCTCTTGGCCCGAGGAATTATCGAGTTGACTTCATGTCTGATGACTGCACAGGTAACAACAAGTTTATTTATCACGGCTGCTTGCTTTCCATCCATCACCCCTTTCTATTGACTGTTAGCATACATAATATTATTATGTGGGTTCAGTTTCCAAGTACGACATTTTATTTTATTTGAGTTAATCTCTGTCTGTCAGCGGGGATTCTTCAACCCAACCAGTGTTGATCATATTTGACAGGATAGAGGCAGTAGCCTCCCAAATGTTAGAATTTTTGTCAATGCGAATGGGGAATATTAACAACCAATCAATGAATCAATCAATCAAACAGCCAATAAGCAGCCCATCAATCATTCAATCTTAACTACTTGTATTGTTCTTGTTGATGTTTTCGTTTCCGTTGCAGGTATTGGATATCATTGTTGTTATTTATGTGGCGCCTGCTTGTCTATGCCAGTGAAAAGTGTATTTTCAAGAACAAAAAATGTATCTCCCTTGAGGCTGGTTTGAGTCACGGTATTATGATATATTATAGAAAAAAAAATAACGCCATCGTCCCCCCACTGGTGTTCATTACAAGTTCATGACGCCCCCCCCCCCTAAAAAAACAACAACCAACAAAACAAAAACAAAAACAAAACAAAACAACCCCCGAAAAACCACACAAACAAAATAACCCATAAAATGAAAAACAAAACACAAAAAAAATCAAAAGAAAACAAAACAAAAAGCCAGTAATAATAATGCCTATGTAAAAACTTTGAATAAAATTAAGAAGTAAAACTGATTTGGAGAAAGTGTTTGTTCATCAGGCCGAAAATAAATGTTAGGTAGCTCATAGCACTTCTGCTGTGTACTTCAATGAAAAGCTCAAATAGCTGTTATTCTGATAAATGATTCTTGTGGACTATAACTGTGACGCATTATCTCTTTATGGATTCCAGTTATGTCATGTCTACGCATGTGTGTGTATGTGTGTGTGTGTGCGTGTGTGTGTGTTTGTGTTTGTGTGTGTGCATGTATGTGTGTGTGTGTGTGTGTGTGTGTGTGTGTGTAAGTGTGTGTGTGACGTCGGTGGCCTTGTGGTTAGGCTACCGGACTTGTAATCATGAGATTGCGGGTTCGGGGGTTCGAGCCTCAGCTCGGTCCCACGTTGTGTCATTGGGAAAGGCACTTCACACGATTTCCTACTTCGGTCGGTCCTTTCAGAGATGGACGTTAACTTCGAAGGTCCCGCCTCTTAAATAACCTAATCGTGTGGATAGGGGCGTTTAACCCATACCATTTCACCATTGTTTCACCCTAGGCTAAAGTAGCACTCAGTAAAACACCCGCGCGCCTACTTGTGTCAAACAGAAAATAGGTTAAGACATAAACCTTCCGTTTAAAACAAAGAATAAAATCTCCTCCTTACTTGGCCTCTGTTATCGGCTCAAAATGCTCCCATCACCGTGCCAGCTTAGCCGTTAATCCCAGATTTTCCTCCAGAAAAGTAAAACAAAACCTGAAAATTTGAAGCAGGAAGAAAACCCCCCCAAACCAAAACAAAACAAAACAAACAACTCAGAGAGGGGTCTAGGATTGCGCAAACACCGGTCACAGACGATGAGAGATTCCCGTGCAGGTGTGGGATCTCCAGCTTCCAACACTTAGGACAATACACTTTTGTGATTCCGGAATCTTCTAGGTGGATTTCAGAATGGCAATTCTCGCGCGTGTGTCTGTATAGGGTGAGCAGTTAGTCGGTTGGTCCTTTTCTGCCAGCAGTCTGATGGTGGACAAAATTGGAGGAAACAGGTGGCAATGGTTTATCCTGCAAAGTATTGAAAGCAGTTAAATAGCAATAACTTGACTATGCACAATAGTCATTGCAGTTTTCAGTGACTGAAATTTTATTTTCTTTGATATAATTAATATGAATTGTGTTTTATATTTTATGGATGAAGAGCTAGAAGAATGTAATGAGATGAAGATGAATATTTAATCATAGTAAGCACAATTTAAATACTACCCTTGGTAGAGGGTAAGAGGAATCGGTCTGGAAACGGCTGCTGTTAAGTAGCAAGGTAGGGTCGTTTAAGTCAATAAGAATGGACTGTTTTATAGTGGTGCTGAAACATTTGGAGACCCAGACGAGATAATTACATTCAAAACTAACTGCAGTTGTAAAAGTACTTGTTTTTGTAGTTCTGGTAGCAAAAGGAAAGGGGGTTGGGGGAGGGAAGAAAGGAGGGGGGGGGGA